TTTCGCACTTCATTTCGATCGTCAACTAACTAGAATTTTTGCCGGAGACTATACAATGTGTGGTTTAAACTCTTGCATGATATTGGGTCTCGAGTATCTTATAAGGTATAAGGTGTCTTTCTCAGATAATGTTATCTGTCAAGATATGCCTACTTAGGAGCAGAATCAGATGAGAGATTCTGAGAAAACGTTAACTGTGACGATTGAAGTCTTCCACTCACCCGAACTCGTTCTCGTCTATGGAAGGATTCAAATTAGCGATCCTACTTCTACTTGGCAGCTCCCTGCCCTCTTTTAAATTCTTTTAATTTCGTTCGAAAATCGCGCTTATCGAAGAAGTTTTAAAATTTGTATTTCGACAACAAGGAGTATCTTTCTAATATCGCCTCGGAGTCATCGAAATATCGTTATCACGTACGTGTTTGCCTTTAACTCGAGTATTTCTATTGATTGCATAATTTGGGAAGGCCAGTCGCTTTTTTTTTTTTTCTTATTAACCACGGAGGATCCTCCGACCATATACGATTCCGCAGGAAAACAACAGGGGATAATTGTCCAAAATATGGCATTAGTCGGGTTATTAGCTGAGTAGTTTTCGCAGAATTTCCGCTGCTCGAGGATACGCGTGTCGTTCGTCATCCGCGAGTTTCCGCGCGAATAACCAAAAATGGTGCCGAAGAAATTGCCGAACGTAAGCGTATTGAATTGGAACGTTTCGACGTTTTCAGTTTACCCGCCTATTCTGTGGATTCAATTCCAGAGCCTTCTGATGTATCGACAAGGCTTTTCCCTGCTGCTGCATGGCTTGCAAAATTTTTCCCTTCCTAATCCAGCCTTCGATGAATTTTGGATCCAGTTCGACAACTTTCTCGCAATCCTTCAAGCCGAGATCAAATGCCGCCAGTTTAGTATAACAGGCTGCTCTGTTACTGCAATACTTGGGATCGTCCGGATTTCTTCGGATCGCCTCGGAATGATGTTTAATAGCGGCAGGATAATCGCCATCTTTATATTTTTGATTTCCCAGTTCCTTTTCCTCTTCTGCTTTAGTCGGGTCGATATAAGCCTTCCTCTCTTCCTCTTTGATTATTTTGTCTATATCCGAGAGTAAGGTTTTAATCTCCGGCGTTCTGTGCTCGGGCATAGACTTTTTGTAATCCCGCCCTAGCCTGCTTCCAATTCTCCATTTTCTTATAAGCGTGATCAATTCTCGTAAATGCTTTTGGTTATCAATTTGAAATCCGCTCTATTTTCTCTACCGACCTCGATGGCTTTTCTCACATTGAGCGATACATTTCTGATAATCTTTCTGTTCGAAGTACACTGCCGCTATGTTCAACAAATAGATGATTTCTGTCAAATCCAATTCCACAGCTTTGTTATAATGCTCTAAAGCCTCCTCGAAGCTCTTCTTCTTGTAAGCCTCGTTACCAAGTTTCTTCTCTTTCAAGGCTTTTCTCTTTTCAGGTGAAGGGAAGGTGGGGGAAAATGTATGATTACAAAGAGTAATTTCTCCAACCCTACAATTAACAGATCGATCGCACGTGATATATGGAAATCCGGATCGGCTAATTTAATGTTTGGTGGAAATTTGAACGAATTTGGCGGAAAAAATCTCCGAGGAAACTAGATCCGTAAATGCCGGTACTATGAAACATGCTCAGCTGTTTGCTGAAATCATTATGTAACGATTGAAGAATAACTTGTACGACACCTTTCGATTCGATGCGAATATCGTTAATCGCGCTAAGAGACCGAATGTTTAATTACTTGTACTCTTAAACGCTCTGCGAGAGACTTAGCGATAAAACTAGCCGTGTCTAGTAAGGCTCGACATTTAATTACATAAAATGTGACATCGCCGCTAGACTAGTTTCTCGGCCACCGGCTATTTCTGTTAGTCATTTAGATGAGGTAGATCCTGAACTTGACGCTTCATAATTAATTACCGATTTTTCCAAATGCAGAAGCGTATTATGACGTATTTGGCAAACGGTGCAATTCGAAAATTTATACGGAGAAAATTTATTCGCGATCGCGAAATCACTAGAACCGACATCCGATTGACGGTGACAATGCAATAAACGCAGAATCTTTGATGAGAGAAGATTAGGGCTCGCAGGCGCTGGAATTGCTTTTCCGATCCACCGCGGAATCGCCAACACGCTTGATGAAAACAAACTTGTCGGATATTCTTGTGTCGGGCCTGATTTTTTGATACACATAACGCCAATTGTTTTTTTTTTTTTTTTTTTTTTTTTTTTTTTTTTTT